TTTGGAACTGAACTTTACTGCTGCCATGGTTCAGATTTTACACAAGGTCAAGCATAGCACCACGCTATTCAGGACCAAAGGAAAAGGCGACTGTAACTTCCGCTTGAATTAAAAAAGGCACCGCTGTATCAGCAATGTTGTTCTTGTGGGCAATCAATCGTCAGCAAAGTGACAGAGGGGGGCTTCCATCAGCCAACCAACACCAAGCAGCCCGAGTACATTTCCTGCTCCAAAATCACCTCCCCCTTCTGATACAGCACACAAAACGGGAGAAGAAATTAAGGTGTGCAAGTCCATGACTCATGTAACCACAAGTGAACAGACAAACAGTTCTCAGAGCCTTCAAGCATACCGTCTATTGCTTTCCCTTGGTCCCGAGTGGGTTCTTTTCTGGTGCTTTGTTTTTAAAACACTTGAAGCCTTGATGTTTCTGCTGCAGTTCTCTTTCTAGGGATACATAGTAATTAGTGGAACAGTTCGGAACTTACTGGGAGGAAAACCTGTAACTCTGGGGGAAATAGTTCCCACTGAATCTGAGTAAGTGAGATCCAGGCTCAGAAGATCCTCATGCTAACTACCATTGGCCTCAATTCACTCTCCTAGTCTCCCAGCACTGCATTTCCTACCTGCAGTGTCATTCTGTTCTTCGCTAGCAGTCCAATCTTGATGTCCATGAGATTGAGGTCATTTTCAAGCTGTTGATTAGATCGGATCAAGCTCACAACTTCCCCACACAGTTTCATTAGCTCCAGCTCCTCCTGAAAATCTGGGTCCGATCGAGCAAGTGAACAAATTTCCCAACCACAGCCATAGGTGGGTTTTCAGCATTAACTAAAAACAAGTGACAAAACATCAGAGGACAGGAAACAAATTAAGGCATGTGCTACCTCTGTGCAGACAGCATGTCAAGCAGCAGCCAGTCCAGGGTCAAATTAACACCAATGGGCTTGAATAACTCCTGACAGCATCCGGAACTTCTGGCATGGAATAAATCAGGACAGAAGTCAACGCTATAGGATGAAGTCAGTATCAGCTTAGGGGAGTCCACCTTGCTGAACTTACCCAAACATCAGCGCTCCTATTTCCCAGCAGCAAAAGTACTACCGTGAACCAAGTTTGCACAGAATCACAGAATGTCAGGAACTGGAAGGGACCTCCAAAGATCATCTCGTCCAATCCCCCCTGCTGGAGCAGGATCACCTGATTAGGGCACACAGGAACACGT